TAACGGATATGCTTCCGTTTCAATCCTTCCACAGATAAACTTCAATGCAACATAAATTTTCAAACAAAAATAATAAAAAAAATATATATATATAAATTTGTTTTTATTTCCTACCATAGAAATCCTGTAAAATTTTACATACATGTGCGTGTATATATATGACATTTATATGTATTATATATTCTTGAAAATATTTGTTTCTCGCCTTGAGATATCACGTACCTATTTTTATTTAAATTAATTTTGGATCGGTAAGTAAAGTTGTTTACAAAAAAATCTTGATCCGATCGATATATTGATTTCGGCATTTTTAATAGCTTGATATAAAATGATATCTAGCATTATCATATCGTTAATCGTCGTAATGATCATAATGCACTTATCATTATTACGTAATACAAGTTTGATATAAAAGCTGCCATCCGTTTGCCAGCATCGGTCAAAAAAACTTTTATTAAACTTTGCATTGCATAACAAAGTGCATGAAGAATTATTAAAATGTCGTGCAAATTCACTCTTCTGATATTGACGATCACCATCATCGCATCAGTCGTTTTAATTCAAGAAACATGTAAGTCTTTATCTGTTTAAATATTACGAATGCCAATATCGCGAGATTGTATGTTTCTGAATGATGCATACATACGGTGCATTTAACCATACAAATAAGTATGGATTTGGCGAGAAATCTCGAGCGATAGTCAACTAATCGACTATAAGCAACTAATAAAGCCGTAATAATTCGCCAATGTGCCGATTACTATGCGCGAATATATATATATATATATATATATACACACATGTATATTGTTAAAATATCTGTTTTTTTACAGCTGCCCTGCCAAGATGTAAAGGCGGTTTTACTTATTTTGACGGATGTAACACATGTTTATGCGATACTGGTTATCCTGGATGGGCATGCACAGACATGGCGTGTGGTGGGATAAGCATTAAACCACCACCATGTCTATGTAAATAAAGATATTTTCGCTACAAGTAATTGTCACGCTAAAGGATATGCTAACAATCCTTCTACCGTTAAGTTTCAATGCAACATAATTTTTTAATATAATAATAATAATAATAATAATAATAAAAGAGACATATAAATATTTTTTTATTTCCTATCATAGAAATCCTGTAAATTTTACATATATGTGCGTGTATGGTACTTATATATATTATACATTTCTAAAAATATTTGTTTCTGACCCTGAGATATTACGTATTTTTATTTAAACTAATTTAGGATCGATAAGCAGAGTTGTTTATACCAAAAACTTTGATCCGATCGATATATTGATTTCAGTATTTTTTAATAGCTTGATATAAAATGATATCTAGCATTATCATATCGTTAATCATCGTAATGATCATAATGCACATATCATATTACGTAATACAAGTTTGATATAAAAGCTGCCGTCCGTTTGCCAGCACTGGTCAAAAAACTTGATTAATTTTGCATTGCATAACGAAGTGCAGAAATAATTGTTAAAATGTCGTACAAACTCACTCTTCTGATATTGACAATCGCCATCATCGCGTCAGCCGTTTTAATTCAAGAAACATGTAAGTTTTTATCTGTTTACATGTTACGAGTGCCAGTATCGCGATTGCAAAGTTTCTGAATGACGCGTACATACAGTGCATATAATCATAAAAAACATTTTCTACAGTTGCATTGTGTGAAGACAATGACCGAAAATTCGACAAATGCAATATTTGTATTTGCATCAAGGGCTCATGGGCGTGCACAAGGATGTGGTGTCCCTAAGATAATACATGGAACTTTGAAGGGATTTTCTGCTTCTCTGCAGCGATGTAATTGTCATACTAACGCATATATATGCACATCCAAATTTTACGCTTTAACTTCTCCATCGATGTAGTGTAATACGTAAATACAAATAATAAAGAAAATATAAATGATCATTCTTTTAATATACCTCGTTACATATTAGGATAATATTGCATTAACTTAA